CCCCAAATACACACTGCTTTGCCCGATTTGAAGGAATAATCTTAAGGCATTTCAGGTGGAGGATATTGAAGTAACACTACCAAACTGCCTGGTAGAATGTCATGATGGGCCAATGATTTTATTTGGAATTTTGTTCAGTGACCAGTTTTTATACAGGTGAAAGTTCAAGCTTCTCAATCATTTTCTATTTGAAGCTAACTTTATGTATTTTTTAATGTAAATTGAGTGGACAGGTTAAGCTTGTGATGAAGGTTTTTTTTCTTCCCTTTGCTCACTTCAAGATAGTGGTTGACTTTGAAAATTTTACACACAAGTGCTTTTATTTCGTGTTGGCATACTACCTCAGACACATGAAAAAGTTCAGTGCTAGAACTGTGGGATCTGTCACCTCTGTAAACACAAGTTTCCACTAGACCAGATGAGATTATGAAATGCACATCAAGGGAAGACTGAAGTTCAGGACATGTATTCAAGCCTATTTTTTGTGTAAATAGTGGTGGTTTCAGTGATGCTTCACCAGGTTATTCTCTCTTCTCAGAGGAAAAGCCAGGGCATGGGGGGAGGAATCTCCAATTTATCTTGGCATGCAAGATCTTTTCATTACAGTCAACTGGGTTTTAACTTGTTTTCTTCTGTGTTTTCCCACTGTCTGTGGACATACTGCTTTAAATTAGGATGAGGCTATGGAAGGAGACAGTGTTGAGGATGAGGCTATGGAAGGAGATGCTCTTTGAGAGAGGGAAACAGTGGTGTATTGGTTCTCACGCCCCTAGGTTATGATGTCCATAGGTTACGATGTCAAACTGAGAAGTCTGCTAGCTAGTAAAAAATTTTTTCCCTTCAACCAATTAAGTTTAGAAGTAAGGAAAGATAATATGCAAATGCCCTTTTTAATATATCTGTATTAACTGAGAGCTAACCTTGCCTTATTTTTAACTGTGGTACTAGCTTCATGGTGAAGCATAAACTTAATTAACAAAAAGGGCAAACTAGCTGAGGGATGAGTAGTGATTTCTGCTGAAGACGCTTCTTCAAGTGGTGGAACTCCTGCCTCTAGAGTGGACTTGCATTTTTACTTAGGCGCTTGTTTAAAACTTGTCAGACTTCAGCAAAGACATGATGATTTAATTGTTTGGTTTGGGTATTGCTGTATGGTGCCTGGGGATTGCTCACGTACTTGGGTTGCATCAGGGGTTTTTCTAACTGGGTGTTTTAGCTATCATAGCCAGGAACTGAGGCCTCGGAGCGCAGTGGGGGAAGTGTTGTAGGGCACTGCATTCTCTATTGATCCCATCTACTTTAACACATTAATTTTAATCCCTACCAGATACCATATTACAAGTATAATTTAATTGCCACATTTTTCCTTAGAGGCTGGGAGTCTGACAGAGCTGTGAAACTTCGGTCATGTTTGTGTTTAGGGTTTTTTTGGGGGTTTTTTTGTTTTTTTTTTTTTACACTGTACATTTATTAGCTAAGCTGGAAAACTCTGTTACGGACACCTGAGTAATTTATTGCTTGCTTTTTCTTCGGTGTCAGAGGGCAGTGATTTTGTCATAGCTTGCCTTTCAGCCCCACAAACCCAGCTGTCTGGGAACGACAATAAATCTTCTGGAATTCTTTGTTTTGTCACTTTTGTACCAAGGAGTACAAGATTCTAGTAAATAAACTTCCTTACTGCTAGCAAATAATACAGTTTTTATAGATACTGAATCCTTTTAGGCCCTTTTATCTCTTGACTTCTGTGATTCCCAGTGGATTTTGTACTGACAGTTGAGATAAAGGACAGTCTTCCTCAGTTTCTTCTGTATTAAAGAGGGTACACAGCAATGGTGCACTATGCCTGCATCACAGATTAATGTCTTCTCACCAAACAACGCCAGCCTTTTCCATTCCATGAAAATCTTGTATCTCAACTGCTTGCTACCTTTCTGGACTCTTCTGTATGCTGTATTATGTCTTTTTAAAATGGAGAATAACATGACAAAAATACGTATATTTTCTTAGTCCAAGGTGGCCTAATGCCCTGCTACATTTATTTTCCTATCCCATTCCTTGTAAGTATGACATCTTGCTGGCTTTATCTTCATTAGGCTTCCTCAATGACATGTTGCAGGTGTGTAGATTAAAACATGTTAATTTTCTTGCACGTGAGCTTTGGGGGCTTGTTGGAGGTTAATAATGTCCATGATTAAGAGCATCATGAGCTTGCAGATCTCCAGCTCACAGATACTACAATGAGTATGTTCACTCACACATGGTCCTACTAAGAATCTTATATGTGCTTTTTGCCTTGTAAAAGCCAGTGATAAACAGAGCTGTGTTTCCTTGCACAAGCTGTTGGAAGCAGTGGTGAGAAAAATAAAGTGGAAACTAATGGTGTACATGCAGAATCTGTTGCACAGTTATTTCTGTGCTGGTGAGCTGGCTACTTTTGTTCTGAAAAATGAATTTGGAACTTGTCTCAAACAGGCTTATGGATGTTCAGGAGGGTCGAGAGCGACTATCTATCCAGGATATTTCTGACTGATACTTTATAGAATTATTTTTTTTAACCCTAGGATCCTAAGTTGGAATGAAAAATGTATTGCACCAAACTCTTTAAAGTTGTTATCATGAGCATTAGTATTGCGAAGACAAAAGTGGGAGCTCTGGAGGGAACAGAAAGTAGATTTGATTTACAGTAGGAGAAATGAAAGTAGAAGTGAAAGCCGGTTGTATGCCCTATGGTTCAATGCTAAATGAACACAGAACAAATCGCTGATAAGCCTGCTTTTTTTCACCCAAAGTGACTTGTACACCAGGCCTCACAGAGCACGTTGCTGCACACTGTATGTGGATACAGTCACACTTACATCTGGAGGCTTGATTGTGTCTGTGCGCTAAGTTTTTTTTACTAAAAAGCTGATCTTAGGTTACTTGCTTGAGGCAGAGCTGCAGTTCCGTTACTGCTACTTTTTTTTTTCTCCTGTAGCACTTAAAATTTTGATCTTTAGAGATAACATGATGCATGTAGTAATGGGCAGGCTTTGGGGTTTACTTCCACTGCCTGATTTTTTGACCTGTCTTTTCTTTGTTTGTGGGAATGGTTAGGAGTTGTCTGTCTTCCCCATGGAGGCACCTCACGCTCTAACCTCTGAGGGAGAGCGATTCTCCAGCCTCGGCCAGTGAGTGGGGTAACAGCAGCCGACTGTAAACCTTCCAGAGTCTGTGGTCAAATGTATTCTGCAAACTTGCCCAGGCACAGAGGATGATTTTTGTAGTACCCTCTTTGCATCTGTGCTGTTATCCCTGTCCAGGCTCCATGCGCAGCATCAGTCTGTCTGGCCATGGATGTTCTAGGTGTCAGCTGCTGTCCTGCTACGTGGGGACATTTATGCATGCAGATGGCTGCTTGTGCTAGAGCAGCTGCATTAGGCACACATAGGATTAGAAATTAATGCATTGCTCCAACAGTCATCATAGGCAAAGTGGATATAGCAGATCTGCATAGTAATTTGTTTTGAAGTTCAGTTGGTGACATGGACTGAGGTATCACTTGCTGTGATTTATGATTGAAGTTGCTTGCTGTAATTCTGTACAGAAGCAGAATCTTATATAAAGTTTGTTCTAAAAAAGTCTCTGGCCTGGGGAAGGAAAGTTCTGCATGAAAGCACAGGATTTCAAGAACTTGCTTTTTTTTTTTTCCCCCTCGAGTTACAAAAAGGTAATTGCTCGAGACATCAGTTCTTTCTGAGCATTCAGCTTTACAAAAATTGCCAAGGCAGGTTTTGATAGCAAGTAAGACTGTTTTCTTCACTCTGCAACAGCGAGTTGCAAGTTAGTGATACCCTCTAATTTTCCATAAAGACTTAAATCTTTTCTGTTGTTGATGAAGTAGCAGTATTATGTAAGTATCTCACTGTAACACTTCTGATTGACAGCAAGGTCCATCCAGAGATGGTATAAAAAAAAAAAAAAAGAAGTTGTATTCTAGGTTTTTGTCAAAAAGAGGGTGCTGCCAATGTACTACCCAACACTTCCTTTTCAAATATATTTGACCACAAGTTAAATAAGTATGACTTTCTGTATTGGCTGATAAATACTAGGATGTTTGTGTCTGGTTTGTTTTGCTTTGAGATACATAAAGCAGGAGCTGGATCGTAGAACCTGATAGTCTGTTCTAGATAGCGTGGTTTAACTTGTGTTCAGGGATCACTTGCTGTAGTGCTAATAGCCACGTTATGTTGTCCTTTTGCAATACATGCCCTGAACATTTAGGCAAATAGTTGAGACTTGACTGTTTCGGTGTCCAGTTGGTTTGCTTCTAACCCAAGTTTTGAGGATGCTGTGTCGGGAATTATTCTGAGAGGTCTCTAAAGAATTTTCACTACTGTTCTTCGACTGCAAGAGGAAATTGCACTCCCTCCAACTCCATGAAAACCTAATTGCCATTTCCTTCGGAAGAACATCCGTAGGGCTGTGAATGAGCAAGCTATAACAAAACAAACTTCTGTGATATTCCTCCATCTCCCTGGTTCCTCACGTTCGGTTTCTATTGCAAAGCCCTACCTAGCCTTTCTTCATTTTAATATACTTCAAAGAAAACAACCCTTCCGAGCCTGCTGCCCATTAATAAAGCAGCCGAATTGGGTTATTTAGCTTGCAACAGAGGTGTTCTCATAAAGCGTCTGGTAGGTTTCCCCCATTAATAATAGAGGGAGAGCCACTCTGCCCTTGATTATTTGAGTCTCTGAACTGAAAAAAATGGGGAAGTATGAATTGGGGGAGGAGTTAAATCTTTCTCCCACTCCCTTACACTTGGTTTAAAACCTGCCAGCCCCTCTGAGTAATTAATCAACCATACAAACATTGACCCTAGTTTTTGGACAGGGAAGTATTAAATGCCTAGCTTAAAAACTAAACAAAATCCCATACCCCACCAAAGAAGGACATCTGTTTCTAACTTCAGCTTTTTATTTTTTTATCTTTCATTTTTTTTTTGTTGGTAAATCTCCCAGACAACAGCAGTTCTGTAGAGAGTTTAAATATGAAGGAATGGCAGGACGGGCTAAGGGCACTTCTACCGAACATTAACATCAGCTTTGGTGGACTGCCCAATGCTTCTTCCCCCTCCAACGCCAACCACAGTGTACCAACGTCCAACACTGCCACCACCGACAGCCTGAATTGGGACAGCCCTGGCAGCTGGATGGACCCCGCAATCATCACAGGTAACCGTTTCTCACTCCTTCAGCTCCACTGGCAAACCATCAAATGGGTATTTGGCACAAACTGATTTACATCTGGAAAAAAAGAAAAAGTCAGTATGCGGTGGTCTCTTCCAGCTTCCATTCACAGAACCTCAAGGGTCCAGGAATTTTTGTGGAACTGCTAGGTATAACAAAGCGTCACTTAGGCCTTTGCAATGCATGCCCGGGACCTCTGCAGGCAGTCAGGCGGATCAGCGCTTACCTATAGGGTCAATGTAGGTGTCCCTTCTGCTGGATGGCGTGTCCGGTATGCGCGCCGCTGGTCCTAAGGCACTGAAGGCATTCACTGGACTTTGTTATTTAAAAAGGGACATACTCCACTTGTTTATAAAGCTCTCTTTTATAAGGCTGTCTGGTTGTGTTTCCCTGTTAGAGAGGCTGAAGCATGGTTCAAGTAGGCAGAGTAGGAGGTGAGCATGCAGTGTACTGGTAGTTTGGTGTGGTAAAGGCACGTCAACAGGGATGCAGTCCTTGTGCAGGATGTTTGCTAGAAAAATGTGTATTTTATGAAGAAGTGCTCTGAGGGGGAACTTTCTCCTATCCGGATTTAATGTTAAATGTTTTGTGGGCAGGGTAAATACGTATTATAATGTAAAATGCATTCTTTGTCCAAACTAATCATGTTTTCTCACTGTTGCTTTTTGTTAGGTTAAATTGACCTCCTTCGGGCTCAGCCTATTGCTTCTGCTCTGACTTGCCTGTATCCCTGTTTTTTTTTTTCTTCTCTTCGTAGGTATCCCGGCCTCCACAGGAAACAGTTTAGACGCCCTTCAAGATGACAATCCTCCACATTGGCTAAAATCTCTTCAGGCCCTTACAGAGGTGGACGGCCCCAGTGCAGCGCCATCACAGACGCACCACAGTAACCCCTTCGGCACACAGATCCCTCTGCACAGAGCCAGTTGGAATCCCTACTCTCCTCCTTCAAACCCCACCAGCTTCCATTCCCCACCCCCAGGCTTTCAGACAGCCTTCAGACCCCCCAGTAAAACCCCCACAGATCTACTACAGAGCTCAGCGCTGGATCGTCATTAGGAAAGGAGGAAAAAGAAAAAAAAGAAAAATAAAACCCAAAACGATAGAAATGCAGGAAGTGTCCCACCCTGACTCCTCCCCATGCCCACCTACTGTTCCCCGTCATATCTTTCTTTCTGAAGAATCCAGTTCCTGATCAAACCTCCCCCCCAAATGCAATGCCATCACAGGGTCATGACCGTATCTTTTCGTTAAGTTTCTGCTGAGCCAGTGTTTGAAATACACTGTTTGAAATATTTTCTAACCATTCTAAGGGGAAAAAAAAAAAAGAGAGAGAGAAATCAAAATGCAGTCTCAATGCTTAAGGAGAATATTACTGTCTTACGTCTTTTGCACATGAGTATTTCTGCCTAGTTGGAAAAGTGTCAATCTGCAGTAGGAGAAAAAAAATGCAATGCAGAATCAAATGCAAAAACATGAAAAAGCTATTTAATTTAAATGAAGTTACTGAACATGTGGGGCAAGCAGTGGCCTAGCATTTATTTTGCATTCAGTGTGGCACTACACAGGGAAATTGCTATGTTGGTTTTTTTTTTTTGAGAAGGGGATTTTGCGTCAGAGTTTGACATGAAGTGTGTTGAAAGACAGAACACTTATAGCTATGAGTAACTGGCATGTTGCTAAAGAGTGGTTTAAAGAGGGGAGAATAAGATTTTTGTTTAATTTTGGCTTTAGATTTAAAGTAAACTTTAATGTTTTAAAAGTATTCACAGATTTAATACCTAGCGTATACATAATATAATTATAAGCAGCTGAAACACGAGTGATATTTACTTCAGTCTTTCTGTCTCCTCTGTCAGTCTCTCTTTCTTTTTTTTAAAAAAACAAAGATTCACCTGAATAGGGCACTCTGGGATAGCACTGCATTGGGGCCACATGATCACCATCAGGAGCAACCTCTGACCTCCTCTGCCTGCAGCTTTTACTTAACCCTGTAGTTTCTGGACGTTTGTGCAGTATTGAAAAGACAGGAAAAAAGAAACAGATAAATAAACATGGTTATAACCTGACGCTAAAACTAAAACCAAGGAAATGTACCTCTTTCTTCAGAATTAAAACTAAAATCTTAAATAAAACAGAAAACTTGATGATGACTTCGTGTTTGCTTTTTATTTTTGGGTTTTTTTAACTTGGATTTTTAATTACTGCATCTGGTAAAACTATGTCGTTGCATGGGATTTTTTTTTTCCTGTTCGTCTAAACGGGAGCTACTTTTTCATGGAAGTATTGCTTTGCGTGGTGACTTCTGTATTGAAGGGTGGACAAAGTATACACGCTTTACATTTTTAAAGGGATTCTGTTGTCTTTACTCATGGCAATAGCTAGAGGCTGTCTGTCGAAGCTTTATTGGTGGAATTCTTTTAAATCTGAAGCATGAGAAACTTGTTTATACTTTCTGAACTAAATGCTGTGGCACTTGGGACAGGTAGCATGCAATAATGTGTCTGAAGGTGGGGCAGAGAATTCTAGTTACGCCTCCCTGTTTCTGTCAGCATCCTTGCATAAAGGTATAAAATACTGTCACTGCACAACAGGGGATGAAGAGCTCTTAACATACAGGAGGCCTCCAACAAGCTCTTATACTTCCAGCCAGAGATATTTAAAACCAGCAACCTTGTGACTGGGGTGCTGGGTTGGCGTAGCTCATGAGGATGGCAGAGAGCCTGAAATCCTAGAGGTGCCTGTGCTGAAGGATTTCTCACCTGGGGTGAGCTGCATACATAGCTCAGGCTGGCTGTGCTCCTAAAATGCTTGCTTCTGGCAGGGGCAGGGAGGGGAATGCACACCGCTGAACTGTGGGCGCCTAACAGGGGCCTTTCACCGCCCAGGCAGCGGGAGAGAGTCCTGAATCAATGGGTGGGCAGGGGAACCAGGCATTGAGTCTGCATAAAGCAACTATATATATATATCCTGCTTTGTAAAACATCACCTGTTGGTGATTGCTCGCTATTGCTCTTCTCTTACCTGTGTTGCCATTTAGTGCTGCATTTACTGTCTGCGTTGAGGAACGGCATGTACTGGTTTTGGACAGACATCCTTGTGGCAGTTTAGTTGTGTGCCCTGGTTGCTTGGGAGAACACGCACACCCTTTGGTGCCAATGCTCCCCCACAAAGCAAATGACGTTTTCGTCGTGCAGTCAGCCCCTGCGCAGTCCCTTGCTGTAACTGGTGGTGATGGTGGAAGGAGAAGCACGGCACATTGGGACTGCGGGCCGGGAAAGCCCTCTCATGCAGCAGTGCCTGCTGCTGCCCCTGCCGCTGGGCAGCAACCCAGTGGGAACAGCCTGATGGAGGTGCTGGTGAAGGTGCAATGGGCTTTTTATTTAGTAGTTTGTTCTTTTTTTTTTTTTTTTTTTTTCTTCCCCAGTTGTTAGACACTTTTCGACCTTTAACTTAATTTCTCTTTGAGAAGGGTGCCTTTCCTGACCCTGAAAATAAGCAAGCCTCCCAAAGCAGCTGTACTTGCTTCCTATGTACCACAGCAATTCCTGACGCTGCTGCTGCTTTCTTCAGTTCTTCATCAATCTCTTTGCCACAGGTTAGGATGCACTGAAGGAAAATGATGCCTGTGGTCTGTTATCGCTAGAAAATAGGCTTCAGCTGCTCAGAGGAGCTTATTCCCCGCTGCCATACCATAGCTTGTATGGTCGGCCTACTGACTAAACCTTAAGGAAAAGGGTTGCAACTGGAATGATTTTTTTTTTTTCTTCTCTTTATGGTGCTCGCCTTCCCACCCACCTCCCCTCAAAAGACTTTGATTAGGTAACACTGGTGTTATTAAAATACATCAGTGTTTGGGTTGATTGGGGCAGGGGGCAGCTTCTGCCTCTTTTAGCCTAGCTTTATCCACTGTCTGGTGCGGACTCCTGCATCCCCTGTAATTGGGAAGAAACGTGGCACTTCACTCTGTTCAACTGTGTGGAGCTCAGTTAGTTTCTCCTAAGGTCTCTGTTGATTCACTCTTCCTGCAACAAGAAATTCTGTATAGGAACCTTTATTGAAAGGAGAGCATCCATGTGTCTGCATTGTCCAGGTGATCATCTTGGTGCATGGTCTGCTGTTGTTTCATACATTGTATGGACACTTGCAGCTCTTCCTTGCATTAAGCCAAGAAAAGTACTTGTCTAAAAGGCCAGCGACCCAGAACTAGCAAGATGTTTGGTGTCTGGTGGAGATGAAATTGGAGAAAGAGGATGGACCAGACAACTCCTCCAAAACAGATTTGAATGCGTGTTGAGGGAAGGGAGGGAGTTATTAGCCATGAACATGTTGGTACAAGAAGTTGTCTTGCATTTTCAAGGAATTCTCAACTCAAGCATAGTAAATTGGGGGGTCAGCAGTGCTGGACTGATACTATGGGTTCATGGCTGCTTTTTGTTTTCTTTTTAATATCTAATAAGGGGATGATGTTTCTCTGGAGTACAGCAAGGAGTATAATGCCACCTTCTAGGTAAGGTGAAGAGCCATTGCACAAATTCCTTTTCCTTCCTTTTACAACTTCCATTTCCTACTTGCAAGTCAAATGTGAGCAGGTATGTGCCTTGCAGTGTCTTGACAGGGCTGCTCTAACCATGCTTACACCACCATTGCCAGCTCCCTGAAGTTGAGTTTGTATTCTAGTTCCCGAACTCCAAACTTCTGTTCTCCTTCCCCTCCATCAGAGACTCTGTTGTCCAAAAAGTTTTTTTTATGAGGTGCTCATTTAATCATAGGCATTCAAGATGTTGGATTTTAGGGAAAATGCAGTGTGTTTGGGTTTTCTTGTGGAGGGTGGTTGTTTTGGTTTGGGTTTTTTTGTGGTGGTGGTGTTTTTGGTTTGTGGTTTTTGTTCTGCTTTGGTTTGGGTTTTTTACAGCTCTCTAGAACTGGTCATGCTGTGGAGATTTTTGCCTTGAACGCATTTTTTCTTGGGACGGGGGGGAGGGGAAGAGGAGCCATGTACCAATTTCTTCCCTCATCTTTGCAAGGGAGCACAGAAAAATATACTTGAAAAGACTGCAGAACAGTTACCTGGGTGCTGCTTGTTCATCCCTCTCCTCAGGATCCGCAGAAGTTGCCTTAAGTTGAAAAGGGTCTTAGATTTGGTGTTGGATTCCACCATACGTAAATCCACTGAGTGGGATTGTACTGCTTGGGACTAAATCCCTCAGGGAAAAGCTGTAGTGCTGGAATAAAAACTTACTGCTCAGAACTGAGGTGTGTTGAGAAGCACTGAGGTGGGACAGAGCTTGAAGGGTTAGGGGGCTGGAGTTGTCACCAGCCCTGCTGGAAGGGGTTGTAGGTACTCCTGACTTGGTGAGAGGAACGCGCTCTCCTCCAGTCTAGCCACTAGTGACGTGAATCCTTAGCACACATAAAGCAAATAGTGTGAAGCGCTGATTGCCATGAACGCGTGTCTGCTCAGAGTAGTTGTTGCTTTACATCTTCCAGCGATGTACAGCTACATGGATAGCTATGGAAGCGCCTTCCACTTCACTGATACGTTACAATGTGTTTGGGCTGAATGTGGAGGTAATAGCTGTAGGAGCTTCTCCCAAATCCCAGCATCTCTTTTCCCCCCCACTTTGGGATGTTCTACTGATGGGGAAACAACTCTCGGGTCAGGCCCTCTTCTGTTCATGGCTGTGACAAAGCTCCCAAAGAGGAAAAACATGAAGTATCATCATAGCTTTGTGTGACAGTGTAAGAAATGGTGTGGCCTCAGTACGCTCTGATCTACACGTGACAGCACTGTATACGAGCAAGGTCTTCATCCTCCCTTCTTTCTGGGGTTTGCCTTTGCCCTAGGCTTACCTCTGTTGTATTTATGTGGCAAAGGGAAGGCTCCTGAGAGGGAAATGGCCGAATTAAGTTCTTGCCATGCAAGTACAGGGAGCTAGAGCGACTTGCGGGGGGGGGGGGGTGTGCAGGAGCCTAAACTGCTGCGTGGTGGAGGTTTGAGGCAAGTTGGGTGATCCTGGCAGCAACAGATTTGCTATCGGCTTTGCTGATGAAAAGCACTGGTTAAGGGTGGTCTGGTGCAGCCATACTAGGTGTGGAAGTCGTCTGAACAGAGGTGGTGTCACTGTGGAGGAAAACACTTGTAGAAAAGTCCTTGTTAATCTAAAGCTGGTGGGAGAGTGACCTGCCTGACCTGCGGTGGTCTGCTTTCTCCTCTGAAACCTTGCTAGACCGCTATTTGTTTCCCCCTGTCCTCAGACTTACAAATCTGACAAATCCCCAAGGAAAACTTTTCAATTTTGTCAAGTAAATAATTTTTTTTAAATATCAGTTGTATAAAATGCTTGTTTCAAGTTGACATTTTTCTCTGTGTGAAAAACTACTGTGTCAGTTTTTAATTGAAAATGCTAACTTTTTGTTATGACACTTAAAATCAGCATCTTTCTGGACATGTTTGGCAAAAGATTTTTATATCTAAAATGCGCGTCATTTCAGTTTGCAGTGAAAGCAGGTGTCAATCTCTAATTGTACGTAGCAAAAAAATCTCACTTTTGGTTTTAAAGCCTTGGTTGGATCTGAGGAGAAGTAAACTCTGTGTCCCAAATGTATCTTGGCTGTACAAAAATCTCCTTGGAAAGAGGGGAAACTGCAGTGAGTTTTTATTCAGGGGAGTGGAACAGAGAAGGAAGAGAGATGAAAAATTACATTCCCGTCATCTTGTTTCCCTTCTGTTTTTTCCCAGTTTCATCTCTTAACAAGACAACTCCTTCCTACATGAACAAGAAATGGGGCAGTGCTGTTCCCAGGACAGGTCCTGGGCTGAATCCCCGGCCATGAAACCTATTTTGGTGAGACAGAAGTGGAAGCATAGTCTGTGGGTACAGCACCAACGTACTTGCGAAGGCCCAAAACGCCTGTAGCGCTGCGTCCAAATTCACTGCTGGCGTGTCGGCATGCAGAGCGCCTTTTCCCGCAGGAACTCCAGGTGGTCTCGTGAGTGTCTTGAGGGGGGGGACAGCAAAGAACAGGTTCCCTTGGAGCAGGATTGTTCCCTCATGCAGAGCGCCTTTTCCCGCAGGAACTCCAGGCGGTCTCGTGAGTGTCTTGAGGGGGGGGA